ACATACATAAAAGCTAGCTTTTAGGCCGATTTTCTTCCAAAACGGCCGAAATTCAAATCTCCCAAAAATTTAACAACTGAGGATTACTCCACCTACACTGAAATTACCAGAGGTCGTTTTGGGCCCGTTGGAATTGTAGCGTTTGCAAAATAGCTGCAGTTTCTTGGCGCGTAAATCAGCTTTAGTTTTGAATTCTTGATTCTAGACATGATATCATTTAGCAAGAATTTCTTTTTTCACTTTCGCGATGACAGGAGGATAGAAGTTTTTAATAAAGACAAGTGATTCGAAAATTTTCATTTTGTGACCTCGTACAGAACAATTGTTTAAAAAGTGGAATGAGGAGACTTTAACAAGGATGATACAATTATGAAAAAAAAATTAGACAAAAAAAACTAAAATTTTGAAAATTTCTGTTTTTGCATTTTTGCACCAAGCTCGATTAGTCTTATTTTTATGGCATCACCGAGGATCCAAAAGCTCATAACTTTGAATTGGTTCGACAAAATTTTTCACTTTCTCAGTCCCCCAAGATCTGACCATGGTCTTAACCTACAAATAAAAAACTTTGGAAGTCTTAAATTTTTTGGGCAAGTTATGGCCGTTTGAGCAAATTACCAGGCTCGATTTGACTCTTCATACTGACATATTCACATCCTTCGGAGGGCAGCCCATTTTTGAAAAGTGCAAGAAAAAAAATTGCACATACTTAAAAGTTAGCTTTTGGGCCGATTTTCTTCCAAAACGGCCGAAATTCATCTCCCTTAAAATTTAACAACTGAGGATTACTCCACCTACACTGAAGTTACCAGAGGTCGTTTTGGTCTCGTTGGAATTGTCCGAAACCCAAATTTACGATACAATTATGAAAAATCAATACTTAGACAAAAAAACAAAAGTTTTGAAAATTTATTTTTTTGCATCGCGCTCGATTAGGCTTACTTTTATGGCATTACCGAGATTTCAAAAGCCCATAACTTTGAATTGGTTTGTTAAAATTGGTTCATTTTCTCAGTCCCCCAAGATCTGACCATGGTCTTACGATGCAAATATTACAATTTGGAAGTCTTAATTTTTTTGGGCAAGTTATGGCCGTTCGCGCAAACCACCAGGCTCGATTTGAATCTTCATATAGAAATTTTCACATCCAGTGGAGGGCAGCCCATTTTTGAAAAATGCAAGAAGAAAATTGCACATACATAAAAGCTAGCTTTTAGGCCGATTTTCTTCCAAAACGGCCGAAATTCAATTCTCCCAAAAATTTAACAACTGAGGATTACTCCACCTACACTGAAATTACCAGAGCTCGTTTTGGTCCCGTTGGAATTGTAGCGTTTGCAAAACAGCTGCAGTTTCTTGGCGCGTAAATCAGCTTTAGTTTTGAATTCTTGATTCTAGACATGCTATCATTTAGCAAGAATTTCTTTTTTCACTTTCGCGATGACAGGAGGATAGAAGTTTTTAATAAAGACAAGTGATTCAAAAATTTTCATTTTGTGACCTCGTACAGAACATTTGTTTATAAAGTGGAATGAGGAGACTCTTACAAGGATGATACAATTATGAAAAAAAAAATTAGGACAAAAAAAAAGAAAAATTTTTGAAATTTGCTTTTTTTGGACCAAGCTCGATTAGGCTTAACTCTAAGGCATTACCGAGATTTCAAAAGCGCATAACTTTGAATTGGTTTGTTAAAATTGGTTCATTTTCTTGTTCCCCCAAGATCTGACCATGGTTTTACGATACAAATAACAAAACTTGGAAGTCTTAATTTTTTTCGGCAAGTTATGGCCGTTCGCGCAATTCACCAGGCTCGATTTGACTCTTCATACTGACATCTTTACATCCAGCGGAGGGCAGCCCATTTTTGAAAAACTCAAGAAAACAATTGCACATACTTAAAATTTAGCTTTTAGGCCGTTTTTCTTCCAAAACGGCTGAAATTCAGCTCCTTCCAAAATTCAGCAACTGAGGATTACTCAATTTACACTCAAGCTACAGATGTCGTTTTGGGCTCGTTGGAATTGTCATAAGCCCAAACTTATGATACAATTATGAAAAATTAAAAATAAGACAAAAAATTTTTTTTGAAATTTTCTGTTTTTGCACCAAGCTTGATTAGGCTTAATTTTATCGCATCACCGAGATTTCAAAAGCTCATAACTTTGAATTGGTTCGACAAAATTGGTTCAATTTCTCAGTCCCCCAAGATCTGACCATGGTCTTGCGATACAAATCATAAAAATTGGAAGTCTTAAGTTTTTTGGGCAAGTTATGGCCGTTCGCTCAAATCACCAGGCTCGATTTGACTCTTCATACTGACATTTACACATCCAGCGGAGGGCAGCCCATTTTTGAAACATGCAAGAAAAAAAATGCACATACTTAAATATTAGCTTTTAGGCCGATTTTCTTCCAAAACGGCCGAAAATTATCTCCCCCCAAAATTTAACAACTGAGGATTACTCCACCTACGCTGAAGTTACCAGAAGTCGTTTTGGGCTTGTTGGAATTGACCTAAGCCCAAATTTATGATACAATTATGAAAAATCACCAGGCTCGATTTGACTCTTCATACTAACATCTTCACATCCAGCGGAGGGCAGCCCATTTTTGAAAAATGCAAGAAAAAAATTGCACATTCTTAAAATTTAGCTTTTAGGCCGATTTTCTTCCAAAACGGCCGAAATTCAGCCCCCCCCCCAAAAAAAATTTTACAACTGAAGATTACTCCACCTACACTGAAGCTACCGATGTTGTTTTTGGGCTCGTTGAAATTTTCTTAAGCCCAAATTTGTGATACAATAATGAAAAATCAAAGCTTAAAAAAATTTTTTTGAAAATTTCTTTTTTTTGCACCACGCTTGATCAGGCTTAACTCTATGGCATTACCGAGATTTCAGTAGCTCATAACTTTGAATTAGTTTGCTAAAATTTGTTCTTTTTCTCAGTCCCCCAAGAATTGACCATGGTCTTACGATACGAATAAAAAAAATTGGAAGTCTTAATTTTTTTGGGCAAGTTATGGCCGTTCGCGCAAATCACCAGGCTCCATTTGACTCTTCATACTGACATCTTCACATCCAGCGGAGGGCAGTACATTTTTGAAAGACTCAAGAAAAAAATTGCACATACTTAAAAGTTAGCTTTTAGGCCGATTTTCTTCCAAAACGACCGACCGAAATTCAGCTCCTCCCAAAATTTAACAACTGAGGATTACTCCACCTATACTGAAGCTACAGATGTCGTTTTGGGCTCATTGGAATTGTCATAAGCCCAAACTTATGATACATTTATGAAAAATTAAGTTTTAGACATAAAAAAAACTTTGACATAAAAAAACATCAAAAATCCATAAGTTTGAATTGGTTTGTTAAAATTGTTTCATTTTCTTATTCCCCCAAGATCTGACCCTGGTCTTACGATACGAATAACGAAGTTTGGAAGTCTTATTTTTTTTGGGCAAGTTATGGCTGTTCCAGCAGTTCACCAGGCTAGATTTGTTTCTTCATGCTGACATCTTCAAGCTTTTACGGTACATTGCACAGTGCGGGCTCAGAATTTTCAGGTGGACTGTACCCGATGGTAGTGTAAGACCGGGAAATCCGTGAGTCAACTGAAGCAAGCTTCGGTGTCAACTCGAGAAGTAAAAATCAGTTTAATATTGGTGCCAGGCAATGCCCAGCATGCCAGATATTAAGCTGACAAGAACAGATACTACATATGATCTTAGCCAAAAGGCCGAGAAGCGATAACTAAACCATTTCCTTGTTTTTGTACATGCCTCGAACACAACAATGAAAAAAACGGCTCGCATCATAAAAATCATATTTATCCGACTGGGTTGAGAGCTGGGTTGCTCCGGACCAACTTAAAAAAGGTCAAGGTTGAAAGTTGAAAAGAGGTAGCTCTAATGAAACTTTGCCCTAACAAATCACCGCTGCTGGCTAGTAAATCTATCGTAAGAGTACAGTAGACTACATTATAACCATCTGCGTTTCTGCCGTTACATACGACATGGGCTTAACGATGTGGACAAATACATAATCTGCAGTTCTGCCGTAGGCAATTGAGTAATTCCGCTTTCATTTATATCCTGACTAGCTTATGTCTATTTACATTACTTTTAAACCACTCGCCCTAAAAATATGCTCTTCTATCATGTAAAATTTTGCACGCTCACGTTATAATTTATGCTTGTCAAACAAAAATTTAAAAATTGACATTTTTCGGAATTTTTTGACCCAATGGGTTTTAAGGCCTAACCGGCTGGTCAAAACCTATGGAGCCTGTACAAGGTGTCTTGGACTGGATGATCATCCATGGCATGATCGCCGCTCATTCACTCTAAGTGGCATATGGTCGAATACCAGCCAGGATACTGATAGTTGCTTTTAGCCTAAATGTTGTGATAAAATTATTGAATAGGTAAGTATTCAAATCTATTTGATACGTTTCTTTGAAGTCACTCTGCGACAGCGGAGGGTGGCCCTTTTTTGAAAAATGCAAGAAAAAAAATGCACTAACTTAGTAAATAGCTTTCAGGCCGATTTTCTTCCAAAAATGCCGAAATTCAGCTGCCCCAAAGTTTCAACTGATGATTACTCCACGTACACTGAAGCTACAGAGGTCATCTTGTGCTCATTGGAATTTTCTTGAGCCTAAATTCATGATGCAATTATGAAAAAATAAAATTTAGACAAAAAAAAAAACTAAAATTTTGAAAATTTAGTTTTTTGCACTAAGCTCATTTAGGCTTAATTTTTTGGTATCACCGAGATTCAAAAGCTGATAACTTTGAGTTGGCTCGACTAAATTAGCTCATTTTTGCAGTCCCCCAAGATCTGACTATGGTCTTACGTTACAAACAATGAAACTTGGAAATCTTATGTTTTTTGGGCAAGTTATGGCCGTTCGCGCAGTTCACCAGGCTCGATTTGTCTCTTCAAACTGACATCCTCAAGCTTTTAAGGTAAATTGCACAGTGCGGGCTCAAAATTTTCAGGTGGACTGTACCCGATGGTAGTGTAAGACTGGGACAATCCGTTAGTTAACTGAAGCGAGCTTCGGTGTAACCTCGGGAAGTAGAAAATCAGTTTAATATTGGTGCCAGGCAATTCCCAGCATGCCAGATATTAAGCTGACAAGAACAGATGCTACACATGATCCCAGCCAAAACGCCGGGAAGCGATACTCAAACCATTGTCTTATTTTTGTACATGCTTTGAACACAACAATAAAAAAATGCTCGCATCATAAAAATTTTGTATTTATCCGACTGGGTTGAGAGCTGGGTTGCTCCCGAACCAACTTATGAAAGGTCAAGGTGGAAAGTTTAAAAGAGATAGCCCTGATGACCCTTTGCCCTAACAAAACACCTCTTCTGGCTAGTAAAGGTATCTTAAGAGTACAGTAGACTACAATATAACCATCTGCGTTTCTGACGCTACATACGACATGGCCTTAACGATGTGGACAAAGACAGAATCTGCGGTTCTGCGTAGGCAATTGAGTCATTCCGCTTTCAATTATATCCTGAGTAACATATGTTTATGTACATTACTTTAAAGACTCGTACTCGCTCGAGAGTAAAAATATGCTCTTATACCAAGTAAAGTTTTGCACGCTCACGTTAAAAATTATGCATTTCAAACAAAACTTGAAAATTTGACAGTTTTCAGAAATTTTTTGTCCCAATGAGATTCAAGGCCAAATCAGTTGGTCAAAACCTACGGAGCGTGTACAGGGTATCTTGTATTGGATTATCATCTATGGCATCATAGCCGCTCTTTCACTGTAAGTGGCATATGGTCGAATACCAGCCAGGATACTGATAGTTGCTTTTAGCCTAGGTGTTGTGATAAATTTATTAAGTAGGTAAGTATTCAAATCTCTTTGATAAATTTTTTGTGAATGCACTCTGACAGACAATTTTTGAAAATCACAAGATAAAAATTGCACTAATTTAAAAAATAGCGTTTAGGCCGATTTTCTTCCAAAATGGGCGAAATTCAGCTCCCCCAAAAATTTCAACTGATGATTACTCAACGTACACTGAAGCTATTGAGGTCGTTTTGGATTCAATGGAATTGTCTTGAGCCACAATTTATGATACAATTTTGAAAAATTAAATTTTAGAAACCAAGAAATCATTTAAATAAGAAAAACCCAAAAATTTTGAAAATTTCGTTTTTTGCACCACGCTCGATAAGACTTAAATTTTGGCATCACCGAGATTTCAAAAGCTCATAACGTTGAATTGGTTCAACAAAATTGGTTCGTTTTCTCAGTCCGCCAAGATTTGACCATGGTCTTAAGATACAAATAGTAAAACTTGGATGTCTTAAGTTTTTAGGGCAAGTTATGGCCGTTCGCGCAATTCACCAGGCTCATTTGTCTCTTCATACTGACATCTTCAAGCTTTTAAGGTAAATTGCATAGTGCGTGTTCAAAATTTTCGGGTGAACTGTACCCGATGGTAGTGTGAGACCGGTACAATAAGTGAGTCAACTGAAGCGAGCTTCGGTGTAAGCCCGGGAAGTATTAAATCAGTTTAATATTGGTGCCAGGCAATGCCCAGCTTGCCAGATACTAAGCTGACAAGAACAGATACTACACATGATCTCAGCCAAAGGGCCGAGAAGCGATAACTAAATCATTTCCTTATTTTTGTACATCCCTTCAACACAACAATGAAAAAACAGCTCGGTCATAAAAACTTATATTTATCCAACTGGGTTGAGAGCTGGGTTGCTCCCGGACCAACTTTTAAAAGGTCAAGCTGGAAAATTTTAAAGAGGTAGCAATAAATTGACTTTGCCCTAACAAAACACCCCTGCTGGCTAGTAAATCTATCGTAAGAGTACAAAAGACTACATTATAACCATCTGCGTTTCTGCCGTTACATACGAAATGGGCTTAACGACGTGGACAAAGACAGAATCTGCGGTTCTGCCGTAGGCAATTGAGTTAATCCGCTTTCATTCATATCCTGATTAGCATATGTCTATATACATTACTTTTAAAACACTGGCCCTCGCGCGAGATTAAAAATATGCTCTTTTACCATGTAAAATTTTGCACGCTCACGTTATAATTTATGGATTTCAAACAAAATTTGAAAAGTTGACATTTTTCAGAATGTTTTTGGCCCAATGAGTTTTACGGCCAAATCGGCAGGTCAAAACCTACGGATCGTGTACAGGGTGTCTTGGATGACCATCTATGGCATGATAGCCGCTCATTCACTGTAGGTGGCATATGGTCGAGTACCAGCCAGGATACTGATGGTTGCTTTTAGCCTAAATGTTGTAATAAATTTATTATAAAGGTAGGTATTCCGATCTACTGATAAACTTTCTTTGAATGCACTCTGTGACAACGGAGGGCAGCCCTTTTTTTAAAAAAGCAAGAAAAAAAGTTTCACAAACATAAAAGTAAGCTTTTAGGTCGATTTTCTTCCAAAGTGGCCGAAATGCAGTTACCCTCAAAAATTCAACTGATGATTACTCCACGTAAACTGAAGCTACAGAGTTCGTTTTAGGCTCGTTGGAATTGTCTTGAGCCCAAATAATTGATACAAAACTGAACAATTAAACTTTAGAAAAAAAATGAAAATTTCGTTTTTTGCACCACACTCGATTTGTCTTAAATTTTTGGTATCACCGAGATTTCAAAAGCTCATAACTTTGAGTTGGCTCGACGATATTGGTTCATTTTCTCAGTCCCCCAAGATTTGACCATGATCTTACGATACAAATAAAAAAAATTTGAAGTCTTGTTTTTTGGGCTAGTTATGGCCGTTCGCGCAATACACCAGGCTCGATTTGACTCTTCATACTGACATCTTCAAGCTTTTAAGGTAAATTGCATAGCGCAGGTTCAGAATTCTTAGGTGGACTGTACCCGATGATAGTGTAAGACGGGGAAAACTGGTGCAAGCTTTGATGTTAACTTAGGAAAGAAAAAGAAGTTGAATGTTGGTGCCAGGCAATGGCAAGCAGGCCAGATATTAAGCTGACAAGAACAGATGAAAGATTTAATTCCTCAGAATCATAATAAGCAAAAACAGGGGTTAATTTACAAGGACACTCAGAAAAGTAGAGAATGAAAGTTTGATATCATAGCAAGTTTGAAAAATTAGTTTATATTGAAGTTGATCAACATTGAATAGTCTTCGATGAAGATAGTTTTTTTTGTAGGTCACAATCTAATAAGTTTGGGCGTTTCCAGTGATGTGTCCAACTGCAAGGTTCCGTGCATACTGGACATTTTGGTTGGCCAATTTTCTCACAAGGGTGTTGCTCTTCCTTCTTGAGTTGAGCAGTCGTTCGAAAAGGGTTCGTGTGCATCGTCGAACACTTCCTAGGGCTCCAAGTTGAACAGTATGGACGGGAGTTTAGTGGTCGTAAATGTTAAAGGCACATCTCAGTGCCTCATATTTGGTTGCTATGTCAGTCTCGTGCTGTTCATGGGTTTCTGTGGCTTCTGCTGAAACTTTGATATCGAGGATGAGTGTTGTCTGCTTTTCGTTATTTTGAACAATCAGAACAGGCTGCAGATTCCCAAAACGTTGCTCTTTGATGATGGTAAAATGTGCAGGTATACTTGCTTCAATTAGATTCCGCGCCTCGTCGTGTCTGCTTATTACTGACTTACGGTTGACTGGACAGTTATTGATCACGTGATTCAGTGTCTCTTGATTCAATTGGTCACGTCTTTGTTTTTGCACCAGGTGATTGCTGCGCGTAAAGGGGTGAGGTTCAACCTAGCACGATGGATGAACCGCCATTCGCAAAATTTGGTGTGGAAACTGTATATCGCCTTAGTTGCAATAGGCGATGAGCTGAGGCTTCTCCAGTAACGGCCTTGGTCTCGAGCCTCTAATAAAATTGTAAGACTCCTTTTTGTCATTAGGGAGTGGAGCATTGGCCATGGGTTTCCATAGCTCACATCAGCAAGTTGCATGTTCAACCTGTCATTGTGCAGTTCTAATTTGATGTTCAGTTTCAAGTACTTGGGTATTCGTTGCAGAGCTAGAGAAGTTTCTTTGGCAATCTCCGAGAGTCCAGCTTTTTTATTCTGGTTTATTGCGCGAATCACCTCTTCATCCGCTGATCCATGTATAAGCAGTTTCTGCGTCACCGTTACCAGAGAGTCTTTAATATTAAAAGCATTGACGAAAGATTTCTGTGTCATTTTTGCTTTTGTTAGGACCAAGTCAGGAAGTCCAGGTCCTCCGTATAAACGGTTCAAATTGATGTACGCCGTAGTTGCTTTCTCAGGTAGACAAAGAATGCGTGTTGCCATCTTTCGCAGTGATCGGTTCATCATATGGAGTTGGTTCTGGTTGGTATATGAATTCTCTAGCAGATGGTATAACTTCGGCATAATCTTAGTTCTGAGAGCATGTAACTTTTGCATAGGGGAGAGCTGAGAATCTTCTATTAGCTGTGCTAAGGCCCAAGCTCTCTCGAAGCAGGACTCGATCCTCCAACTATTGACGGGAATGCTGTCGTTCCAAGATACTTGTAGGCTCTTTCCTCGGTCACTACTGGTACCAATTGATCTCCGATTGTGAGTGGTTTGGAGATGTTTGAAGCTCCGCATTTGGCAGGGTTGAAGGTGAAACCCAGTGACTTGGCGCGGTCAACAATTTTCTGCAGGATCCCCGGTGCTTCGGATGCGTCCTCCAACACAACTGCTAAGTCATCCATATAGCCCAAGTAAGAAGAAGATGTCGTCTCTCCACTCCTTACGACTGGATCCAGGACCAGATTAAATAACAGAGCGCTGAGTGGACAGCCTTGCCTAACACCTCTGGAAACGTTCACTGAGTCACAGAGTGTCTTGCCTCATAGGTCGGTAGGTTGTGTAGTACAATCTGAGTAAACGGACTGTATGATACGTATAATCCATTCTGGGCACTGTCTTTGTCGTAGAGCTTTGGAAATGGTTGAGTGTTCCACACTGTTAAACGCTTCGCTAAGGTCAAGATAGAGGACACCTTTCTTGGAGCGTAAAGACTCAGCTACGATAGTTCTTGGCGCGTTCTCCATGACGCCTCTTCTGGAAAAAAAAACAGCTCGCTGCCCGTGGGAGATGCAGTTGTTCCTCTCAAGCCACGACGATAGTCGTTTGCAGATCATTGACATGAGAAGTTTGTATGTCACGTTTGATAGCTCTTTAGGGCGAAACTTTTTCAGGACCTTGTCCATTCCCTCTTGGAACTCCTTGGGCTTTTTAAACAGAAGACTTTCGTAATTCCTCCACTTATCAGGCGTGGCCCCTGAAGCTGCTAGCTGGTGCAATCCGGACGTAAAAACTGGCACGAAACCTTTTAATTGAGCCAAATTAGCGTAGGTCCAACCATCGGGGCCAGGAGCAGATGATGTATGATCAAGGGCTGCTTTTACTTCTTGTTGAGAAAACGGCCGTGACAGTGCTTCTCTACTCCTCCAGCATTTCCTCCACGTGTTCGGCACAGGGGGGATTACTGGTTTTGAGCCAAGTTGGACGGTCATTTGAGACTTCAGTTCGTCTGGGTTAACTCTACACAGAATTGTTTGGTGCCCCTCAATGTAATCTATGGCCCTCTTCATGTTGGTGCAGTACAACTTTTGAATATCTGCCTCGGATAGCGTACTCTGCTTAGGACTCTATTTTCTCGACGTCTTGGATTTTGCGGGAATGAGCGAATCCAGCCATCGATCGGCGTTGAAACTTTCGTCCACTTCATCGGGGCATTTGTAGCGCTGGTCAATGCCCGGGGCGTCGACCGATCGCATAATTTGCGGTGGCGGGGGGACTTCATCAGGGAGTTCATGGCTTGATTCGTGCTCGAGGAGTCCTCGGAGTCGGAAAATTGCGGGGGTGGGGGACTCGGAACCGGTTGCTGAGATCCTCGCATGGATGAAGAAAGAGAGCAACCGTCCTGTTCAATTGGACGGGCTGCTTTGCATTGACGGTTGTGGCTGCTCAAGGCTTTTTGCATGGCAAAGGCTCGGTTACAGGAACTGCATGGGTAGGTTTCGATTTCAAATAAAGGATCCTTGATGTGAGTCGCCTGATGCGTTGTCGCTTTTCTTCGATCTGGAAAGGCTTCCTTACAGAATTTGCATTCAAAAAGAACGGTATCCAGATCTATAGGATGTCTCTTCTTTGCATGGCGGATGATATCGCGTTTAAACGACGCTTCCTTGATGACTGCATCGCAAATTGTGGGTAATAGCACTCGGGCAATCGTACCGCTAAATGTGAGCATGGACATTATTTAAAACGTATTCTGTATCCGAAGCAACATCCATAACAAAAAGCTCCAAATCTCCAAAACCTAATAAACGATAAAGATCAACAGGTGATTGACCAACACTTTTTTTCTGAAATTGAAGCTAGAATAGCATCATCTGTGAAAAGAAAACGTAGAGAAAAACAAACTATCTTAAACCATTGAGATTGTATATCTGGAATCAACCTTTAAGACATATCGAACAATAAACACAACTGTAATACAGCGGAGGGCAGCCCATTTTTGAAAAAAGCCAGAAAAAAAGTTTCACAATCTTGAAAGTTAGCTTTTAGGTAGATTTTCTTCCAAAGTGGCCAAAATTCAGCTACTCCCAAAATTTCAACTGATGATTACTCCACGT